TTTCCTTTCCTGTTTCTTGGGTCTAATGTGTCCCATTCTATTCTGCTCCTTGTCATATTTACCCTGGTTCTGTATTCCCTATTTATGGTTCTGTATTTATCTACAGTTAGGCAAAAGCTAAATTGTTAGTTCAGTGCCTGTGAGAAATCACCTGCATTCATCTTCAAAGTCCTTGGAAATGAGCTAATAATTTTGATACTGTAAGACATCTCATAATATATCACCCCATTAAAAGAATGCTTACTTATTATAAAATCATCACGAGCCCCTCCTACTGGAGCAGCTAATGTGAGCTAATTTTTACTGAGTTTTTCTCTCTGTGTGGATGCTGAGGATAACGTTTTTTCACATAATCATCCACACCCTGATTCTATTGTCCGGCAGATCATGGCTTAGAGAAGCTGAGAACCTTGGCCCCAGTCCTCAGGTAAGTGAGTGAGGCTGGGATTTGGTCAAGCAGCCTAATGCTGGGCAGTGGTTGCGAGGACTCTAACCTCCTCCGAGTCACTTTCCAGAGTTAAAAATGAACTGTGATGATTGTAGAAAGGTACACTGTTTACTTACGAAAACCAAAGCAAAGATTTGAAAGGTGAGTTTCTTTGGCTTCTCAGTCAACAGTCCCAAATCTTAACTGTTGAAACTACAGAGGAAGTCATTTCTGCGTGCCTACAGTTAGGTTTGCAGTTACTACACAGCAACGCTTTGTGCTGTGTACTGTTGGCCCAGCCTCTAGCAGGTCTGCAGCTCTGGTATAAGGATTTCTCCCCACGCCATTCAATCCTCCAAGTCATTTCAGCTCAGAATATGGATTAGCTGAGCCCAAGTTTGATCAACATTTAGAGTAACAGAGGTGGATGAAAAACAAAACCTGATCAGTTACTCTAAGTGGCTTATCATTATGAAGCACAATAGTGTTTGGAAGAATTTTTTTTCACTCTCTTTGAGTTCGACATTAGCTGTTCCTCTGATTTCTTATGCACCAATAGTCAGTCACTTTTACTCTCTTAAATCTAATTCTTAGAGTCACTCCAAGCAACAAGTGGTTGTAATATTAATAGTAATTTACTGAAGATAATTAAAAACTTTCCCTAGAAAAAGTAATTACTCTTTTGGGGTGGTTGAACTAGAAAGTGGGGGAAGGTTGATTGAAACTCAGCTCTTTCTGGCTTGCAAGTCTCTTATCTTCCAAGCCAATCTACTATATCATAACAGACTCTTAGCAAATATTTCAAATACCATCTCCTTTCACTGCCTAGCAATGTTTCATGATGGTCACAAAGAAATAATGTGATTAACCTCAAGGCTCAATTTCTGAGTACAATCTCCGTGAACTATAAAGTAGTTAGCCTATAAATTGAACATACAAATGAAACCCAGGCAAAAATGGTACAGAATTAAAATATAGATATAGAATTAAAGTAGCCATTGAAAAGTGTGAGCTGATATCTATAAGTTAATAAAATTACTAAGGATAAGTGGAAAATAAAATAATGCTTGGTGAAAAAGCCTTCAGTGAGAAGGAATCATAGCAAGAAATAGGGACTGTGGGCAGCCAGCAGATGTGAAAGACAGAAAGTACCAGTGTCCACTGCCCGGGGGAAACAGAAATCAGGGCAGTAGGCAGGTAATGCCACACCGTATCTGCCTCTGTGGGAGCCAATTCTTCAACCTAAAATCAATGGAAAGCCATCAAAGACGTACAAACTGTGTGAAAGGGTATTTATGGAATGTGTGTATAGGAGGGTGAGTGTATGTGTGTTTCTGTGTGATGTTGGTAGTGTTCGTGATGTTTGGACACACATTTTGATAATGTTAAATATTTGCAACGTTTAATATTTAATTGTCTATTTTTTAATGAAATGAACGCAGAGTGAAAAAAATGAAATGTGCATTTTAGCCATAGCATAATTTCCTAACTTGTTCTATTGGAAGTAGAGATTCTTTACTTAGTCCGAATTGTAGAATTAAGGCAGTTGATTGTGTATGCAGTAATGATGATAAACACAAAATTAAAGAATAGATGCAAAATATGTAATTAGAGATAAACATTAAATACATGACAATGGTTGCTTGCCTATGGCAATAAAGCAAAAAGGGAAAAAGATACAGTTAAGATTAAATAAACAAACATATATAAAATCCTACAATTAACTTAAAATATCAGTAATGCTTTTATAGTAGCATTAGCTCTCTAGGGTTAGTTTGCTCTAAGATAGTATCAGCAATGTGTTGCTAGATTTTCCGTGGTTGAATAATCCATAATATAAAATAAATGAAAGTATTATGTACCTTAACTTTGAGTCAGAAGTCCTGGGTACTTTCTACCTAAAAATTTAAGAAGCTATTTAAGTCCTCTGTGTGCTGCCTCAAATACAAAGCACCTCTAGGATTTCCAGAGCTAATACTTGAAATGCTTTGAAAATAGTTTTTCGAGAGACTCAAGCATGTGCACTTTTTCAAAATGGTTTTTAATGTCTTCTCTTTCCATTTAGCATTGAAACGCACAGTCAGAGATTGACTGAAGGGGGACACATATCTTTGCTAAGCAAATAGGCAATGAGCCTTGAAAAATATAGTGATTATCACTGGGAAATAACTTTTTCTAATTATTAAAAGTGTAATTTCAGTGCTTATTCCATGTACGTATAAAATAAAATATTAATAATTATTTTTTAAGAAGCATAAGTAAATACAGAGGCTGGACTGAATACTCATTAAATCTATTCCAAGACATATTTTTCCTAATTAGAGTTATAGACCACCTAAAACTCTGGACCAGAGTTTTCTTACACTCTGCTTGAAATCGACACCTAGCTTGTGCAATGTTTTGAATACATCTGAAGATCTGTGTGTGATGGAGAACGCGAAGTCTTCCACATACCCCGCAGAAGAGCTTCATGACTTCAAAGTTACTATAATGTAGGCAAGGCGATGCTTTCTCTGGGGGGTCTTTCTGTACTTTGTAAAATATTTGTTAGTATGACTCACTCACCGTGTGTCCACTGGGTGACAGTGCCCCTCACTCTCCAATGTAACCATTAAAGTGTGTCTTGTCCTTGTCTTATGTCTTCTGAGGTCAAAGTTGCCCCTGACTGAAAGCCACTGTTTACAATCTGTCTAATATACTAGGGCTGGGGTTTAAGTCACATTTCTAGTAAGAAAGAAAGAAAAAAACGAAAACTGAAACTGGCCTGGTTTTCTTTATTCTCCTTCTTCTTCTTCTTGTCTTGAGTGCAGACACATTGCCTGGAACCTTGGTGGCCCTTTGAAACCATAAGAAAACCACCATAAACAACAACAAAAATAGGATTCCCTGCTACCATTCAGTACTGACCTAATCCAAGTAGTAGTCTTTCCCTGGATGTATGTGTGTGTGTGTGTGTGTGTGTGCGTGCATGAGTGTGTGTGTGTAAAAAAATCCCACTTATTTAGCAATTTTTCAACATCTTTCCTATTTATACAGAGAACTACAAATTTCACTGATATTTGTGCAGACTGTCTGCCTTCATTCCTTACCAGGCATAGAAGAACAAGATTAGAGGACAGAGCTAGAGGGGAGTGTGGGTTGAAAGAATTAGGATATTTTAGAGATAGATAAGTATGTCAAGTACTTGCATGCTGACTCTTGCTAGAAATTAATAAAATGCCAATCACAAATACATTGAAGAGCCATGATTTTACAATGGTAGACTTTTACACTTTTATCTTATTTTAAATTTATGCAGGTTGTTACAAATATAGTAATTATTTTAAGAAATTTATCATTATTTAATTTCTACTTTCCAAGACTAAATTTAAAAGTGTTATGTTTGTGTATGTGTTTTAAATGAATGGACAGCCTTTAAAATCATATGTCCATTAATTTTTTTGTCCACTGATATTTTTAATTCTTCATTTATATACGTTGTACTAAAACTAAAAATGCAAAGTTAAAAAGATAGTTATTAACAAAAATAATTAGTTAAAAAGATGGTTATTAGCAGAATTGTCATTCTGTGCTGTGTTTATTACCCTAGTAACCACGTAATTGAAGCATCAACCACATAGTTACAGATTAACTGACCACTTCATCATACTGTTCTGTATGCATCCTCCTATCCTAGTAACCTGTTTGCTGTGTCCACCTTTGTTCCCTTTGTGAGAGACAAATGATGCTGTGTCAACCATTGTTCCTTTTGTGAGAGACGAATATTCCTGGAATTGGCAGACCAAGGGCTATGAATTGGCTACCACCCACTGTGAAATGCCTCTGACCTCAAGCAAAGGGGAACAAAGGCCCACCTTGTTTCTGTTTCTATCGCTAAGTACTTAGTGGTCAATGAGCTAATCGTAAATGAACTATAAAAATCTGTCAAAGTTCTAACCCAGTTGCACAGCTTTGCAAACTCCACCTGCACTGTGCCGCTGGTATCAGTTAAAATAAAAGTGCTTCTTTTTAAAAGATGTCTTGCCTCCTTCTTGACAACAGACAACATCACAGGGCTTGTTTTGGGGGTACAACAATATAAAGCAGATAGCACCTCCTTTCAAGGTATAAGGACTAAATAATCTTTTTATTATTATTATTATTTTTTGTACCAGAGACTGAACTTACGGCCTTGTGCTTACCAAGCTTGAGATGCTGAGCTAAATCCCCAGCCCCAAGTGCTAAATAATTTTTTTTAAAATATCTAAAAATAATCCCTAATCTATGATAGCTTCTTAATACAAAATTTTTTCATTCACTCATTCAAAAAGATGAATTCTTGTGGTCTTCTGTATATTTCACACTTTCCAGTTTTTACCTCTTTTGTTTAACAAAGCTAATTTCAATAATTTGCATCCATAGGATGAAATGTTAAGAAGTCCATTTAAAAACTCTCATTGGATTTTTCAAATCAGAATATGCAATATATTTCATTAAAGAATTATAATTTCAGATTCAGTTTCCAGGCCCTGAAATCAAATTAAACTACTGGATTACACTTGGATATCAGAATGAAGAGCCAATGACACAATGGTAACTTTTTTTTTTTTTTATTTTTGGCTACATAAACATCTCTCTCAGGCAATAAAACAACTTGTATACGGGGTCTGACAGCTTCTGGAAAACACAGTTTAAAAGCAGGCTTATCTCCATTATACAGAGTTGTGATATAAAAAAAGATGTATAGATAACTTTGTTTTCAGAAAGCAAGCAGTTACACTGTGAACCTGTCCAACAAACCTTCCTCGTTAAGCCAACGTTGAAAAATATAAAACCGTGATTAAGAAGTCTTCAGGTAAGAGTACTTGAGAGCTCCAAGGAATGTTTACTGCCCTCCACAAAGAGCAACCAGGATTTTTTCATAATCTCCCTTGGTTTCATCCTGTTGATTCAGAAATAGAGAACACTTAAAGCTATGAAAGTCATAATCAATATATTATACTTATAGAACTATTATCTAAAAGCTTTACACCCTTGGCTTTTCTGTCGTATTTTTCAGTTCTCTGATGAGTTAGCAAACTTTGTTTTTCTGGAAGTGAATATTGAACATAGGGGCTGCACACTGAGATACAGTCCAAGCCCTTTTTAATTTTTTAATTTTTAATTTTTTAGACATGGTCTTGCTAATTTTCTGGGCCAGGACTCAAATTTGTGATCCTTGTGCCTCAGTCTGTGAATATATATACTTGAAATATTTTACATATGATAAAACAAAGAAAATATCATTCACTTATATTATTATTTGCAAAATCCTAAAATCTACCTATACTGCAAAAAACTAAAATATTTTAGAATTTTAAAGTGGAAAACATTTCTATAACTCTGGTTGAAAATGTACCTAGTTCTCTGGTATAGAACTCACTAGTAAATGTTCAGTGATAGTTTATTTATAAATCAGTCACATGACATTAATTAATCTTATACATGCAATGCATAGATGCAGTATCAGCTTTTCTCTTTGAAGGTATTGCATACACTGTCACTTGTGCAAGTGGCCTTGTGAATCTCACAACATACCAGGATGGCTTGGCAAAGAGAGATGCCATACATCTTCTGATAGTACACTTTGATATCGTTCATGTCGATTTCAGAGCGAGAGACCATAATCCTGATGAGCGCCTTATGACGAGTTCCAGCACCCTGTCCAAAACAAATCAGTGTCCTCATACTCACAAAAACATTATCAATAAAGAGCATGGATTCTGTATAAGAGAAGCTATCTCCACATTCACACACACACACACACACACACACACGCACGCACACATGCATGTAAGTAGTAAGGAAGTGACCATACCAGCTGTAACTTAGTAAAAAGAAGTTCTGTAACCTCCTAACTGGCCTTCAACCAAGTTTGCTACGAGCGATCCAAAAATTAAAATTACACTAAAACTCTTTCTGGAATGGTAAAATTGATCACTGAGTTTGTCTTTTGAAAACACTCTGACACTCTGACATTCTCCTGCGAATGAAAACCAATCACCTGCAGGTTTCTAACGCCCTGCCCAATTCTATAGCCTCTTGCAGGGTGTCCCATTCCCTAATTATATTTACTGTATGGGAGAGTTCTGCTCCTTCTGTGTTCAATCCTGAGTACTTTTCCTCTCCTTGCACCACTGTTGCTTTATCTTGCCTTCTCTTCCACCCTTTCTTTTATCATTCCTGTTCAAACTGAGGTCTTAGATTAACTAACAATAAGATTAGGCAGACTTCTCAAGGCACAGGCTGTGTAACTCTGTGTAACTTTCTCCTAGTACCAGGTATCCATCTGAAAACCACACGAGGCAATGGCAGGCACAGGGGCAGCCACTCTGTTAACTATTGTGTAACAGTATCTGCTGTGCCTGCATTTTATGTTAGGTGTGCCTAGCACAGCATTTTACAGAAGCCTCTAACATTAAATGACTGGTTCTATCTGTCTCTGTCTCTCTCTCTCTGTGTCTCTCCTTATCTGACTCTCTCACTCCTATGTCTATGTCTGTCTTCCTCCACCCTCCTCCTTTTCTCTCTCTCTCTCTCTCTCTCTCTCTCTCTCTCTCTCTCTCTCTCTCTCTCTCTCTGTGTGTGTGTGTGTGTGTCCTTGAGGAAAATAAAGACAATACCATCATTATTCACTTTAGAACTCAGAACATAAATAAATACTTGGAGTATTTAAAATACATCTTAATACCACCTTCTACTTTGATAAACATGAAATGGTATTCTTGAAGATTCAATATTAATCCATGACATGAAAAATGACATTTAAAAAAAAAAGGAAAAGAAATTTAGAAAGTGTAAGATCATAAAACTCACAGTTTTAGTGCAAATACATTAACTAAATCATCCTTTCCTTGGTAGCTGAGATTTTAAGCAAATCGCAAGTCAGTCATAAATTCTTAACAAATTATTTATACTAGCATCTATATATTTTTAAAATGCACCAAATCTAAGAGAAGTTTTTTGTTGTGGTGGTTTAATAAGGCAGGGTATCACCCTGGCACTGAATAGAGCAATGATTTTCTTTAATGCAAAGCTACAAAATGTGATTTTCTGAGAATATCGGAATTTCTGTTCTATCTGCAAATCATTTTCCTCTAAGCAAAGCTTTAAGTGGAATGATACCTTCATGGCCAGATGAAGCTTCTCAGCAAAGAAAGCAGGTGTGCTTGTGGCACATTTCACTGGAAGAAAGGTAAATTTTAGTTGCTTAGATATATTTACCGCAGAAGAAAAAATTAATGCATGGGAAAGAAGAGAAACACAGAGCTCCGCCACCAAGACTGTCACGGATCATTTTGCCTCTCCCTCCTCCCATCATGAGATATTTGGCAGGTGGGAAGATGTTATGACCATCTAGATGGTGGTTTTGTATGTCCATGTCCCAGACAACATCATTTAGTCTTTAATTACCTTAAATGTATCCCATTAGAAACTTCAGAGTTCCTGCTTTCCTGAATAAATGGCTCTTGGTTTTAGAGACCACAAAAGTAAATATTTGATCAATACTTTAATAAGAACACTAAAAATAAATTAATTAAAAACCCAGGACAGGATAGCCTTTAAGTATAAGGCAGTTGTCCATACTAGCATAAGTCAATCGGTACAGTTCTGTTTTGGTTTTGTAACTGACCTTGCTGCACAAAGTGGGAGCAGAAATACCCCACAGAGGATGTTAAAAATGCAGAGCCCAGGCCTCAGCCAGACCTGCTGAATTATTATCTGCTCACTAACACTATTCCCAGCAGATTCGTCCTTTAGTAAAGGGGAAATAATGTCTTTTGCTAAAAGAAGGCACCTTAATTGTTTGCCAGTCTACCCACTGCCTCTGTGTGGAACATAGACGTATCATTTCTGAGGGTTTGGTTTTGGTTGTTTTATTGTGCTTTTCTTATTTTTAATAAAAGAGTATAAGTTATCACTAAAATGCATTTTCCAGTTTAAAAGCTCTTCCCATACGTACCGATGGCTGTGAGGCAGTTTTCAATGTCACCTTTCAGCTCCAGGTCCAGAGCTTTGTTCATGTCATGCTGACTGTACTTGGTGTATTTCTGAAACACTGAACATTAAATTTTAACTAAGATTGAATACTGTCTTTTGCAAACTTTCTCAAATTTGGAATTACTAAAGGAATTCTTTGGGATAACTGAATTTTTGTCACACTTTAAGAAAGCTATTCCCACATCTTAGCATAATATGGAGCTCATCTTCTCTTGGGAATGTAAATCACATGGACATTTTGATAGTTTAGTACGAAGTGAAGGAAATATCTCCAAGAACTACCAGTTATTACAAATGACATATTATAGACAGTCATAAAACTACAGTAGTATCATTTGCCACAGCAAATGGATCTTACCTGATATAAAGAGCTGCACGGTTAACACTTTGGTTTAAAATTAGAAGTGAGAGCGTTATCATCAAATAATGGACTTCAGGTAGTTGTGATAATTTTACCCTAACGTTGGCTTCCAGGAGATTCAGGGCTCAAGTTTGTACACAAAACCCAGAACTATTTTTAAATTTTGCATTTGCCTGCTTGGTTTTGTTTTCATTCCCTGGAATTTCATTTTCTCTGTTGTATGTGACTGTTGTTAGAACTATCCCAAATCATTTGGGAAAGCAAAAACCATGGAAATAAAGGAATGGTATGCCAAGGTCACAGACACATTCGCAGTGCTGTGACATGATGGCCGTCCAGCTGCACATATGGACAAACACTGATCAAACCAGGAAAACCACACCGTGTGCTAAGGAGAGACATGGATCAGCCTGTGTCTCCTCCCTCTCTCTTACGCATACTCAGTAAGGAAACCCAAATGTCCCAGAATTATTTACATTACCTCTGCGAAGATGGGAATAGCTTCGGGTCGTCAGGATGGTGATGAACACATTCACATCTGTCCCCTTTCTCCTTTCTCCGGCTTCATATAAGGCCTGTTAGGACACGAAAATAGACCTTTGACTCTGCTGCACTGATCCGGGCATGAGAATGTCGACCTCTTCAAATATTTTACAAGCAATTGCTTTGTGCTTGGAACAATCTTAGTAGGATTTGAGGAGCATGTACATGTGTTCCTTGATTTGTTTGCCAAGTACCTTGCATACTATCTCTCAAGGTGCCTCATGAACACTAGAGAGTGTGTGTGTGTTTACGGAATACACGTTTGCCTAATTGAATTGCTTTAAGATTATGGTCTATTAACACTACCCCACAGGACCCCTGAAGATGTTCTTTACTCCTTATTGTCCAAAGTCATTTAGCAGCAATGGCACTTGTGAAATAATAGGTCAGTCACAATATAGAGCTTATACTTTGGTGTTACAATTTCTAGATTCAGATTCTGGCTCTGAAATTAAAAAGCTGTGTGACCTCAGACAAGAAATTTAACCTCAGTAATCATCACTTTCCTCCTCTTCTTTTAAATGAAAAAGATAATTATTCCCTGATTATCACAAGTACACTCTGTTAACTTTGAAATGTTAATTATTGTCATCATTCTGGGTCACACTAATCTATGTAGTGTTCATAAATACAGATTTTGGAGCCCTATTAGTCTTAAAATAAAAATCATATTTAGAAATGTCACAAGCAAATGAAAAAAATTTTTGTTATGGGCAATTATTCAAATAATAAAATCGTTTTACACATGCTTGCACAATTTCTATTAAAATTCTCAAGTTTTCAATGGTTACTATAATTTATTTTTCACCTTTCAAGCCAGTTCATCTACCATGTATGGATTTAATTTAACAAAAATTTAATTAGTGCTTATTATGTGTGTATGTGGAGTGAGGCTGATGTTTGTGGACAAATAACCTTCTGCTCTTGCTGTCTCAGTGTGGAGAATTTTATATACAGACTACTAGTCCATGAAGAAAGCATAATGTAAATAATACCACTCAATGTTTTTCAAATCAAAATTTCATGTCCCAAAGTATCATTTCTTCTAATGGTTTTGTACGTAAATAACTAGAAATCCCACTGAAACAATATACAACAATACACAGTATGCAATAATTATATAATAATTATACTGTCTTACTAATTTACATTTTTACTACTATTTAATGGATATTTAACTGATATTTAAATTACAATTTCATTTTACACTATAAATTTACATCTATGAGCTATCTGATTGTCACACTTAAAAGAGCATTAGATTGTTTACTGTTTCCATTTCTCTTTATATTATACTTTGCCTTACTTATACTTAGTAAATACAAACCAAGTTCAGGAAAGACATCAGAGGTTCACTGTTCTTTTTCAATCCTTTCTGTCTTTAAGAGCCTTCCTGAAAAGGTAAAGCCTGCATTTTTCTCTCTTGGGCTACAGAGACCTGGAGCTCACTCAGGGAATGAGCATTGCAGAACCTCTGTCTCCTCAGGAGGTCTGAGGTTTGATTTCAGGCGGAGAGCATCTAGTGGTGACCCATTGCAAGCCAGGAGGTGACCCCAGTACTGTGTTCTGAGCCCCTGCTTACCCTGGCATCTGAGTCAGCCAAGTCATCATTCACACTGAGATCTTCACATCGGTCACCCTGGGGAAAAATGCATCATGTTACAAGCTTCCCTTTATCATATAACCACATGACTTACTTAACTTCTCTTAAGCCAGATAAATAATACTTTTTTGGAAAACACAGGGTCAAAAGGAAATCTTATCATTTATGATGTCATGGAGGAACTTGACAGACATCATACCAAGTGAAATAAGGCAGGCAAAGAGAGACACATGTACCATAAACTCACTTATCTGTGGCATTTGACAATGTCAATCTCATAGCAGTAGAGAGGAGATGAAATGAATATTAGCAAGTATGAAGAGTGGAGGAAGAGGGGGCTGGAGGTTTAGCTCAGCTGCATAAGCGCCTGCCTTGCAAACAGGCAGTCGTGAGTTCGATCCCTGGTACCGATAAAAAGGAAAAAGACCAAAAAAAAAAAAAAAAAAGAGTGCAGGAAGAAATGGGAAAATATTGTATAGCAAGATGACTCCAGTCAATATAATGTATTGTACATTTCTAAATGACAATTTCCCACTGTCTAACTATAAAGAACTGATGAGTAATAAGGATATGTTGTTTTTCTTTTTATTAATTCCCCATCATATTCACCTACAAAAACATCACACTGTATCCCATAACATATATAATTATGATTTACCAATTAAAATGTAAAAAGTATTAATTCCTCATTCTTAGAGCTCAGAGCTAAGGTTTTATTCTTCATATAAAAGCAGAGGCATTTCCTGAAGTATTTGAATTATACCTTAGCGAGCGAAAGCAGAGCCTTCTGGAAATCTCCAGACGTGTCTGAGGTGATGTCTTTGGCCAAATCTCTTTTCAGTTCTGAGAAATTAAAAAATAAAAAGCTTTTTTACTGCCCATTTCCAAACTCTTGAAAAATAACAATGTCAATAATAGAGCAACAATCTCTAATCTGTCTGTTTTAACATAGAGTTTATAGTGCCACAATATGCAAATCATGGGATGCATTTTATAACATTATCATCTTTTAACAGAAATAGAGAAATTAGAGCAGGTAGAACAATAGAATATCAGATTTATTTGCTATAGGGCAGCAGACGTATTTGAATAATACTAGGAACAAATAGCAAGCTTTTGTCAAGGAGAAAAGGTTCCTTATTTGTGCATTATCAAATCATTAATTCTGACATATGATATGCCAAACTTCCATCAATAGGATGAATAGAAAGTTATTTAAAAGGATAAAATAGAGAATTGCTTGACCATAAACTCTCTACTATTAAAACTTCATTTTATGGGTAATATATATATATATATATATATATATATATATATATAAAACTATACACACCTACTTACCTATAGGCAAAATAGCAGTCAGGTTAGTTGACGCATGAATGTGTTCCTATAATCCTAGCTCTCTGGGACACTGAGGCAGGAGGGTCTTAAGTCAAGCCTAGCCTGAGCAATTTAGTGACTTATTGAAACCCTGCCTCAAAATAAAAATGGACTGGGCACGTAGCTTTGTGCAGAGATCCAGGGTTCAATCATTAGTACACAAAAAAACAAGGAAGGAAAGAAAGGAAGGAAAAAATGAGAGGGGAAAAAGGGAAGGAAAAAAAAAGAGAAAAACAGTAAGACTTGCACTTATCTTCTTTCCAGTATTGTGACGTTTGTCATTTGTCATTAGATGAATTAATTCACTGAATACATAAAATGACACATGTCTGATCGTTCATCCCCACAAATCCAACCAGAGATAAAAGTAATTCACTCATTTATACTATAATAGCAATGCAAAGGTACCCAGCAATGAAAACTACCTAAGTCTTTATCTTTTCAGGACAACATGGAGATACATATTTTGTTTGGAGATGTTTTCAAATTGCACAGCTCCTCAAAACAAGTGAGAGTGGGGGCTGGGGATTTAGCTCAGCGGCATAAGCACCTGCCTTGCAAGCAGGTGGCCTTGAGTTCACTCCCTGGTACTGATAAAAAATAAATAAATAAATAAATGACAGTGAAACACTGTAACGAAGTCAATCTTAGAAAAATATATAACGCTTTTAGAAAGTTCCTCAAGCTCAGTGCTATGAACTGAGTATCCATACCAACATGCATCCACTAATTCTGGGGGGACCTTTTGTATTAAGGTTTAGGCTCCATGTAGCTTGTACTGTGGGCTGCTTCATTAGCAGCTTAGCAAGCTGAATGTTGCCTGGTAGCAGTGTATGAATTCCATCAGCAGACTTGTGTTCAAAAGCAAATAAGTATTTTCATACACAGACTTTCTAAATTCCCCCTAAGTAAAATATATATTATGTTTTAGGGAAGGGCATCAATACCCTTTCCAGTTTACATACTGAACAGTTAGACATTACAACTTACCATCTCTATAGACTCTATTAATCTCTTTGATTTCTCTGTTCTTTCTTGATACCAAAATTTCAATCAGAGTATCTTCATCAGTTCCAAGTCCCTGAATTAAAAGAAAAAGAAAGGATACATAGGGAAAATTTTTGTTTAAAAAGATCAACTAGTTTTTGCATCTCAAAATGTATTGGATTTTCCATTTTGTCAATTTTGGTCATAATATTTAATAATTATAATAAGCTCTATTTATTATACTGCTTTAAAGCAAAAGGGATATGCAGCCAATGTGGAATAGAGGTATTACAATATACATATTTGACTTACACAGTGACATTAAAAGGAGGATATTAATGCCAACATTTATTCCTTTACATATCTATTGATTCATTCTTTGAATTATTAATGTAGTCATTCTTTCAAGTTCCACTGATGGAAATGGGAATACTGTTGTAGTGGATACTGAAGACAAAGCAGAATATGCAGGAATCTGTGGGAATACACAGACCACACCCTGTGCTAAGAACAGGGGCATTGACTAGATTGGTGGTTTACCTTCATGGCAGCGCGGAGTTCATCTGCATCCAACTGGGCTGGAGTTTTCAGCAGAGCCAAAACCACCTCTTCCAGATGCCCTGTGAGGGCTTTCTTCAGAGCTTCGTCCAGTGGCTGTGAAAAAAGAAAGCTTAGAACTAGGATTTCTTACATCTCAGTTCATGCAACAACGTGGTATTACCTTAGGTCATCTTATGATAGTCCCTAACCTCAGTAATTTTTAAAACACCTTTTTTTCATACTACAAAGCACACCACATATTAGGTACGTCAGCTTAAATTTTTAGATCCAGTAGGATTAGATGAAATCCATTGCATGACAGGATTCTCAATATTTTTCACAGAGAAGAAGCTATATGTAAACCATAGTAAAAACCATAGTAAAATAACCATAGTAAAAATAAATCTAAAAAGATGCATTAATTTTTCTAACTTTTGACATTTTCATTGCTCAAGCAAGCATTATGGTTAGTAACTAACATTTTAGCTTTCTAATTGAGCTTATTTTCAAAAAACTGCCTACATTTGCTATAAGACATAAAGTTTGCATCTAAAGGAGAACCACACACAAACTTTAGATTTCAGTACTGCAGCCCAGTTTGAATTTTAGCAGAAGTTATAGTTTAATGGAAATAAATTACTCAATTTTGACGCTGGTTAGGTTCAAACTGATGATCATCTCCCATATAAAACATCACATCTGGGAGGAACTGATACCCAAATGGCCAGTGTCCAAAGCGAGTACATTTGTTAGAATTGATTCCATTGAACAAGGCAGGTAAATACTGCATGTCTGAGACGTAATGGGAAACAATGCTGTAAACTGCAAGAACTAGCAAATGTGCTTCAGAATCCATGTTTCTGCATAAATTGGAGCCGGATGAAACATCAACCTTGTCCATTGTCACCCACCTTCCCTTTCTCCTGGAGGTAGGCTGCTTTGATCTGCTGACGCTGGGCATTGTTCCTCTTCGTCAGAATGTCAATGATGGTCGCCTCATCCACACCTGGAAATAAAGAACCCCCAGCTTTTAACCTCCATTTGCTCTACAGAAAATGATTCATTAACAAGACATTCCAAATGTAGTTCTTAATAAACTAAAAAATATAACTGCTCAGCCTAGGAATTAAACACTACACTTTTTGCCAAACTGAAAGTCTAAAGATGACGATTTACTCATCTGAATGAGCAATGAGGGTCAATAAACTGCTCTTGGACCTGGATGTTGCAGTGTTTGACCTTGGTTCAAACCCAACATGGAATCCACTGTGTTGATTCTGAATTTCCATACTGACAGCCCATGGATTTAATCGTAATTTTCTGGGTACTGAGAAGGAAGTAGATCTCCATTTGATAGGACTCTTCTCATCAAAATGAAAGCTTCTTCCCTTTATTCTGATCACCAGTCAGATAACTGCTCTGGAACGTTGTGGACTGGCTTGTTTTCAGGAATCACACTCACCTTTCACAGTGATGGCTTTGTGCAAAGCAGCAACGTCCGAGGAAGCATCGAAGCTGGGGTAGGGGCTCACGGCTGAGCCAGGACCACCTTTGGATGACTTCACAGTTTTCTGTGGAACAGAGTCTCATGAATTAATCTCCATTCTCTCGTGGTAGTTGCAAAGTTTAATACTGTAACCATGCTACTTTATTACTCTACTTACGACATAGTCCTGTTCTTGATTGTCTATAAAGTAGGCCTGCTTGAGGAACTCTGATACCATTGACATTTTGAAGGAGTGTCTAGAAAGAAGATAGCAGATGCTCTTAGAAAACAAACCACTCTCAATACTCCTCCTTAAGTACACATGATCTCATGTTATTGAATAACCTTATCCTCTCTTGCTAGAAATACATTTAGGAACACAATAAAACGTAGGGTATAAGCATTTTAAAAACTATTATATACTTAAAAAGAAGTCCCTAGCTTCTATGCAGAAACTGGGCTTTTTGCTGACACACTCAGCCCCAGTCCCTAGGGATCAAATGACCACCACAATGCACCTGTTTGCTGAAAAGAAGAACCATGATGGATCACTCACCGTCCGCCAAACGCTTGAGATGCAAAAGCACTGAAATGCTATCTTCACCTCAAAGAACCTAGAGTTAGTGTGCTAGCTATCAGGAAAACCACAAAGGCTAAGAAACTTTTTAGAGGAAGTGTTGCTGGGCAGTGTCTCTCTTGAAATGAGTCAAAGTTAATGCAGCAGAATAGTAAAGAGAATAAAACACAGAGAAGCTTGTCACATTTCGGAACTGAAAAAACAAAGTTTACAGGAGTGAGAAAAATGCTAACAGAAGCTGCAGCAAAGATGGCTAAATGTACGTGCAAAGCTTTAGGAAAGCGTCGATAGGTTTGCACAAAGAAAGCAGGGTGATTCTAATTGTATCTTAGAAAAAGCATTTATCCTTTATCATGAAGAATGGCTAAGAGAGAGGTAAAATAAAAATTAGAGACCATTTAACAGGCCATTAGAGAATCTATGTGAGATTAAATAGAGCTTGTAGCAAAGGAATGCCCAGAGAACAGCCATAATATTTACATTTATTAAATAAAATATGCAGGAGTGAACTACCCAAACACAATCCATGTATTTCTTCCCAAATAACCCAACTTCTTCCTTCATTTCTTTATGTAAAACTATACCAGTACATGGAGTAACTGGTATTTCCGTATTTCTTCCTTTCTGGGCTGTGTAAACACTAACGCTACATGTTTTTCTTTCAAACACAAAACACCAGGAAAACGGTTGTATACATGGTTATGTTGGAACAAGGAGGGATGAAATTGCAACATACAGGACCTTTTAACAAGGCCTGTCTTAAAGGAAGTTTCTTACATGGCTATCATATATTTTGTAGTAATTTTTGTGCAGTAGAACGTGCACTTATAGAACCATGAACCATGTTAAAATTTAGTGAGTTCCATGTTTTGCCTGTGCACACACAGAAAAAGCCATCCATGATCTTTCCTGTGCAGGGCTGCAGTTTTAGGTACCCATGCTGAAGGCCTCTACTAAGCTACCCCTCCACAGCTTTCTGCTTTATTCCTTCGGAGACTGGTATGAGGAATACGTGCAAGAGAAGTTAGAAAGTTAATCTGTCATTGTAAATTCGTGATATGAAGTTAAATGACTCATGATAAGTAAAACTCTAACAGCATGTTCAGACAAAGTACTCAACCCATGCCTTCTGACAAATGACTGCAGTTCCAAGTAATAAGATTAAACACCTGAGGAAATACTTTCCTAAGCAGGAACAATCTCCACTTAATAGCTGTGGGTTGGATTGTGCAAACTATTTTCTCATCTGTGTGAAGAATCAATATATTTTGCATTCATTTAATGCATTCTTGACTCACTAGCAATCGGTAAATTTAAAGTTGTTTCCCAAGGTAAAGTCAAGTTTGTGCAATTTTGCACAAAATTTTACCACTTGTTACTCTCTAATCTGGTGTAATCATTGTTGCCACATGAATTTATGCATTCCAGCTGCTTAACTGGCACACATAAAACCTCATAGTAATTCTAGCTAAGTTTCACATCTTTAAAATTTCTATTTTCATCACCTCATCTCAGTTTTTAATAAAGGACGATCCTCAGAATCAGTGATATGCTCAGTCACTTGGCACAAAAAAACTTCCATCACTCATAAAACATGTTTATTCTATTCTTTTGAATCCGAAAAGAACTTCAAAGAGAACAAAGCAAAGACTAAAGGTATTTTCAAATATAAATTAAAGCAAATCTGACAACTTCAAAATAAAATTTTGAAAACTCCTTCACTATGCCTTTCATTTCTAAAAATAATTGCATAATGCATTTTTTGTTTTAAAGAAAAAACGTAAGGGAAAATCATATTACTATATTAATTTTGTAACATAAGTGACAAAAGAGAGGGACTTGAGTAAGTGATTTAAGCATCTCTGGAGGAGACTGTTCTGTGCTTTATGTGTTCTTATAATTTTAGTTTAAATCATTTGGGCAACCTAGGAGGGCAGTCTGGGAAAAAAAGGCATTGGAATAGAAGCACCTTCAGGAAAGCCACTAGAGCCAAATGAACTCTGGGTCAGCCGAGGACTGTCTCCTAGCTCTTGCGAATACCAGGTTCATAGCAGGATGTGAGAAATTGCTCTAAAGGAAACAGATTTTACCATGTCCTGCTAGCTACTGCCCAAAGTCAATTGCGTAGATTAACAGAAAATTTACCTAATTTACAAATACCACATCAAGTAGTAATCTGGCCAAATTTCATTGTGAAAGCATGTTGTATGAAAAACAGATGAATCCTGTGAGTTTTCCTTTGTTCTGTCCTTTTGATGCTAATAATTAAAACTTGTACCACCAGTAGCTTTTTAAAAGCCTATATTGCTATCTTATTTTAGCTCAATAAATATTTTAATTAAATACCAATGAACTCTGAAACCAGGTTTATCTCCATGACTAGCATCAGCTAATTTGAAGATGAAAATAGCTTTTTATGCACAAACATACATATGTTTTATATATATATATATATATATATATATATATGTATATATATATAATTACATTACTATATTAATTGCATAACTCAAAAAAAGCAAAATAGCAGAGTTGAATATTTCACATGAGACAGAAGAAATGTGTCTTATCTCTTGGTTACTGGCAAAAGCTATCAGAGTTCTTCATAGAGTAGCGAGTAACCAGCTTAGAACGCAACTTTATCCTTAATGTCTTTCAAACACAGTGTCATTTTCAGGCAATTTTCCAGCTCCCTGTGACAGGAATCATGACATCAACCCATACCTTCTGATTCCAAATTCCTTTAAGCCAATAAACAAAATGACCAATGACAAGGTTGATATTATTTTTAATGACATACCAGAGCATCAAGTTCATTAGCAGTCAACCCTTGTTAGGCTTCACCTTGGCCCTAGGTGGTTTATTTTTGCCTTGTGCATAGTTGTTCCTTGAAATATATTTCACAAGGGGACCTCACACCTACCTTAGAAATAAGCCAGTCAGACCATACAGTGGTGTGACTCTGAACAAACACTATGAAAGACTGACTCATGAAGTTTTGCTTCTGAGCTCCGGGATAAGGAGTGCCCTTGCCTGGAAAGTTCTTTCTTCCTCCTCAGTCTCTTCTGTTTGCCCAGCTGCTACTTTTAAATGAAGACTCACAGCAGAGTATTCCATCTTCCAGAAAGCCTTAATCCCGTGCTCAGCCTTACCTGTCCTCCCACGCAGTCTCCCTTTACCTGTATGATGGCCCTGCCTGGATTCCCACGTTCCGTTGACTTACTTTTGTCCCCAGCAGCCTTTCACTAGAGCAATGCAAATACGCTGTTCACTATGCACTTTCAGGGCCGCAAACTGAGTACCGCAAGTTCATATGTCTTATTAAATTAATATGATCTTTACAAAACTTTTAGGGAAGATTTGCGCTAAGTAACAAACTTCTCAAAACTCCAGGGTATAAACACAGTGCTGAGGTCCTCTGAACCTTGTTTCTCTGACAATCTGACCTCAACAAAACAGAAAGCCTCTTCAAATGGCCTTCATTCATAAAATAAGAAAATTAGAATAAATTATATATAAAATCCACAAGAAGTCTGAAGTGACAATATCAAATCCCACCTCAAGTACATGGTGGTGAAGAAAATGATCTGATGGATAAGGGCTTTATGTAAATTGGATTTATTTTGATGTTTTCCCCAATAAAAATCTATCTAATTTTAAAGGAAAAGGAAACAATTACTTCAAACACTGTTTGTATTTTTCTCTAAAAGGTGACAACCCAGTAGTTTTACTCTGAGTTTAAATACATCATAAATTATTGGGCCTAGAGATAATTAAGAACAATGAGGTTAGACAGTTAATATGTATCAAAGTCAATCTTCACAGATGTTTTGATTGAAACTATAGCTAGTTCCTTAACAAGGTTATTATCATTTTGTCAACATCAGTCATACGTTGGAAGCCTGCCAGATGTGGTTGATCCTAGAGCTCGGATGGAAGCAACTTCCTCAAACAGCCCAAGTCAGCGTTACAAAATGTGGCAAGCATTTTGCCACATTTGAATCAGTTACAAAATGCCTTCTTTTATAGCTCAGATGATACATTCCTGTGGACAGAGGGGAACTTGGCAGTTTCAAAGTTCAAGCATAATCTTAGGCCAGCTCCAGAAAAAGCGTACCTCTCTTAATCAGCTAGTATCACAAGTTAGAAACTGAGGCATTTAGTTAACATTTAAAAATAGGCAGGGGGAAAAATACTTGGAAGAATATTTGTAATCAGCACTAGCCAAGTATCTGAGACTCACAATCTTTTACTTTTGCAAATATGTACAAAACCACTTAAAGTCTCAAATTGGCTTTGTGCTTCTTTAAGAAATGCTGTGACCATCAGCTCATCCAACAACCCAGATGTTGTTAGTTGGAGTAGTTTTTAGAGTGTCCTGCTGGCTTTCTCAGGATGTACTTTATCTGACACCACCCAGGAAACGTTTCTTTTCTCCTTAGGTTTTCAAACCAGCACTGGAAAATCCTGTCTGTGACACAGATCACAGGGAAAAGAATGCGGCCACACCCAGTTTAAATGAAATGAATAATAAGTGGACCTTTTTAACTTATGAGTAAGCATAACATTACTTTTAAAAACGTTAATTACAAAGACCACAGTTGCCACCCTGAGATCTGAATCTGTTTAGTTTTCCTTACAAAGGCAGAAAATAAATTACAAAGGAGAAGTTATTTTGTAGTTCCCTGCAACCTACCTTTTATTTTTATTTTTCTGGACCCTTCCAGGCACCCACAGACTGATTTCTTTGTAAGATAAAAATGCACATTCCAAGGGGGAGGACAGAAAAAACACATTCTTTAAAAGTTACAAGAGGTTAAGCGGTGTTTTCTCCTTTACCATGGTAACTGAACAGCAAAATAAAGTCATACTTACTGTATCTTATAAATTGTATTTCTGAACTAAGTAAAACCAAAGAATGCAATTTGTAATTCTTAAGATAGAGTTTTTCAAACTATATGAAATGCAAGCAGACATAAAACCTGTGGAAACAGTAACATTTTTAATGGTCATAAAACTCCTGAATAAACCACAAAGCAAATCCAAAGAATTTTTACTGGTGTCTGAAAAGTTTTCAGAGCAACAAAAACTACCTAAAAAGAAACCCAAGGCTTACCCTTTTCTTCTACCTTCTTCCAAAGAACTCAAGAGAGGCTCTTCTCTGAAGGTTTCTGTCTCCAAGTGGAGCTCTGAACTGATTTTATAGAGTTTGAGCTGGGGCCACGCCTAGCAACCAGAAGTTAGTAATTGGTTGTCTTTTGTTTGAAATACAAGGCTCAGCTTTGTCCAAAAGCAAAGTCAAACAAGTCTTGCAAAACTACTCACTAAACCAATCAGCTGATATCACAGAAGGAAAGAAAATTGGAAGGACACATTGCTTCTCCTTCCTTCTGCATCCCCCTCCCTCAGTAGTAAAATGTAGCCGAGTTTCAAGTACAGTTAAGAACAGCCCCAACCCTAACGCAATTTTGGATGCATTTGTTTCAACTAAGTAGTCTATGAAATGAAATGCATAGTAATTTGAAGAATTAAAAAAAAGAAAAAAGAAAAAACTTAGGTTTGTATTCCAGCTCCTTTCCTTATTACTCTGTGACCTTGCGGGTATATTTCATCTCCCTGAACTTGTTTCTGCTTTTAAATATAGCAGGAGTATTCCCAAGGCTGCCTACTTACTGGAATCCTTGTGGCAACTGGAAAATAATGTATGTGGTGTGATCAAAAAAATCACTAAATATTTAAATTTTTTAAAAATAGAAAATTAAAATCACATTGTGATTAATCTCCCCAAATGTCCCTGACCTCAGATGCCCATGTCTGATTGCTCTGTCCACTTTCTGAAGCAGCCATGGAAGTCCTCTCTCAAATGTGTGATTTTAGTAGCAGTCATTGCCACCTGGACACCCTGAAATTGATTCCAAATGTTTACTGCAGTTTCTGTCAGATAGAAACTTTATGGTGTTTGTGTTTCCTCAAGCACTTTATTCACCAGGTCTGGGACTGGGTGACCTCTCACTTTCTCCAAAGTCAAAATGATCATGAAAGATAAGCAGTGCAGTGGGTTCTGCACAGGAACACAACCATGACAGTTCAAGCAAAGATGAGCAGTCACCAGTGAGGGTTGGAGAGCTGTTTCAGAAAGTGGTGAGATCCTCTTTCCTTCTGCAGAAGTTCTGGTTCCTTGGCTATTTTTTGTTTTGCCTTTAAATTTAATTTGAGTTTCTTGTATAAGAGAAGCCATGTGATATTTAAGCTTGTGTGTCTGATTTGCTCCACTTCATACAGAGTTGGAAATGAAAAAAGACCAAGATGTGTTATGTACATGTACCAACTCACTGCAGTGAATGTGATTATCATGTATTACAAATGCATATTAATAAAAAATTTGTTAAAAATATTAAAATTGCAAGAATGATGGGCTAGGTTTGTCCCACGCCACAGGTAGTACTATGAGAGTGATTAATGGCTATCTGTTTTTTACTGTAATAAATTTAAAAAAATTCTCTACAGATTTGTCACAATACATATATTTGTAAACTGTAATATTATGCAGTAATTAATATTTTTCTGCTTATATTTCATGAGCATTTTTCTTATCTTCAAAAGGAGAAGTTTTGTATCTGCATGTAAATAACAAATGTAAAACATAAACATCCAGATTGGTTCAAAATTTTGAACAAAATGAGTGCTAGAGTTTTGATCATTAGGACACTTAGTAAATGCAGTGGTATTAGCAAGGTCTTGTTTGCATTACTTTTTAGTGGAATACATTATATATAAACTTTGCAACAAATTAGTACTCGATGTTTTAGAGTACTTGAACAATAAATCAAGGAATTAGAACTATAAATGAAAGGATTAATGGTGGCGCAGCTATCACAGAACTGGCATCCTAAGAAATTTCCTGCTTGATATGAGGAGGTACAGGAAGTGATTCACTGTTCTTCATGAAACCTTACAAAACAGTATATGATGCTTTCATTAAACTATGCACAACTATAATCTCTGAGTCCATTATGACTCTGTTTATTCTAGTGGTTTGTTCCTTTTCCTCTTGTCTTCAGAGATATCCCAGGTAATTATAGATATCAAATTTAGAAAAACAATAAAAGTACCTTTTAAGATAAGTGATACTTGTAAAGCATTCCAAATTCGCAATGTCGATTTCAAGGAAACCAAGGCATCTTGCAGGAGGATGATCATCTATCTGAATATGAGAAACCATCAGTCTATATTTTTAGTGCTTGTATCATACATGTTCTAAAAATAAAAACAACTAATTAGCTACTAATTAATATGATTGACAGCATTGCAAATTGATCTTGACAGATGCAGACTAGGGTTCTAATACCACATTTATGTTGTCAACTGAAAAGGGAAAAGGTGATTATACAAAATCTGGCTTGCTTTCTTGTCTTCCATTTATACTCATGTTCCTAACTTTGACAATACAAATGCCGGAACAGTGACACTCTGTGAAATGGAGGCCTTGTTTTTTTAAAAAATAAAACACAGCTACCCACAAGAAATATACAGTCTTATTTTGTTTTATCTTTGTTGATCCCAGTGGCGTGAGTCAGGTGGAACCGCTTCATGCATGTGGATTTTAATGTTTCAGTAAACCTATAATAACAATGATAAAAATAAAACTCATGGTGTAATTAAGAAAAAAGTTTAAGCAACAATTTTCCAAATTAACTTCCAACTGTAACTCTTATAAAGGGAAAGTCCCAACCGTAAAAAGATAAGAAAGTCAGTCATACAGGAATATTGCCATGAGTAATTCTTTACAATTTTTTCCACTGGATAATAATGCCAAGTGGGTTTATGGGAACTGAGGAATGTTTGGATGCATTCTCCTTCACAGCCAAGGGAGAGGCATGGGTTAAATGCGGTGAGAGAGGAATGGCACCTCCCTCCTCTCAGGGAAGTGACTCACCACTCCCTGCTTCTAGAAGGGGGTGATTCATCAGCTCCACAGGAGAGAGAGAGAGAGAGAGAGAGAGAGAGAGAGAGAGAGAGAGAGAGAGAGAAGAGAGTGAGGGAGAGAGAGAGAGAGAGAGGGAGAGAGAGAGAGTGTGAGAGAGAGAGCACAGAGTCAAGGAAGAGGAAAAAAAGAAGACAGTTACAAGTAGACATTCTCTGTCACATTTTCATGGTGTATTTATTGCTACCCCTTTAGTGTAAAAATCTGATTAAAAAAAAAACCATGAAACAAAATATTGAGGCTATCACATGCACCACAGTATAAAGGAGTCAAAAAACCCTGTAAGACTCTAGCAAAATATGTGATTTCTGCACCATCTTATTGTTAAGCTCTGGCTGCCCATTTTTGTCCATGTGGAAGACATTCAGAATCTTAAGACATTCAGATACATTCAGAATCTTAAAGAGCACCAGAAACCTAGAATCTCTCCACAGTTCCCTCCATGTTCACACCCACTCTTTACAGCCAAAGAAAATGATGGTTTTCATTTTGAATGAGAACTAATGGTGTTAGAAATAGCACAGTCTTATTTTGTAGGGTTATTAATACCATTGCCATTAGTATTCCTTAGTCATCACCAACATCACAAAAAATACAGAAATTTTTTTCATTAAATTTCACTCTCCCACTCTGAAGTGGTTCTATGCATAGCTTAGCCATAGAGGTGCAACTTTGCTGAATCTCATTTCAGACAAATAGAAAAGACAAAATTATCTGTGTATGAACAGACTCAGAAAAGAAAATTCTTTTTCTTAAATATACCTGATGTCAAAATATGTTATTTCTACATATATCTGGTATAGATGGCTATCTGGTGATGCTTTAAAAGGTAGTGGATTAACTCTGATAAGTGATCTTTCATTTCCTGAAGGTGCCAGCAGCTGTGGTGTTGTAAAGTAGTATTTTACTTTGCTTTTCTCCAATGGCCAATGAACTTAGCTACCTTTTTAAAGGTATGTTGGTTATTGGATATGCACTTTCTTAAACTGCCAGTTGAAATTTTCAGACCATTCTCCTATGGATTGTGTATCTTATTAGTTTATGTGAGTTACTTATGCATTCTACTTTATTCATCCAATATTCATGAAGAGTCAAAATGTATTTATACTGTTTAAAAGTAGGAACTCACTAGGATTGGGAGGAAGGTAATTTTGTGGTACTGCTTTGTTCTGGCTTCTAACACTGGTGCTATTTAAATGAGCATACTCATTTTGTGAAAATCTTCTAACTTGTAGAATGATGTTTTTTTGCACCTTACTGTCTGTATTCTATCCTTTAACATTGTTGATATCAAAATAAACAGGAAAAAAAAGCAGATATGCGTCATTGACATATTCTCTAACAGAAATTGATTTCTCCTGTATTTATTTTTATGCCTTCTGCTTTCAGCGAGCAGTGATGATTTTCTATTTTTCCATGATTTCTTTTTAAGTGAATTTACTTCCATACACCCCTGCCAGGGCTACTGGACAGGTCTAACGTAGTGGTTGCTGCTTGCACCCAGGAGAAGGACAAGCCGGTACGAACTTGCTCAGACGTTGTCAGGTCAGCACAGTCACGTGGGGTCCAGCAGCAGCTGACACCAACTGCTCAATGTCAGGCCATAAATCAGGTCCCACTGCAGAGCTGGTCATCAGCTGCGCCAAGAAAAAGATCTGGTTCTTCCTCATTTCATTACATTTTCTGAAATCCTCCATAGTGGCATTACTCAAAACAAGAGGGAAAGGTGCTGAATATTCATTCCCATTGGATGTATTGCTTTTCTCATTGTGGGAGTTTTGAAGTGAATTTTTTTATTGATTTAATGTCATTATTGAAATAGCCACCAAATAGGAAGTACTAACAGAATTGCGCTAAGATCTTATCTGTTTGCCTCTGCAAAGTTTTTAGTGAATAAAATAACATTAGAGAAGATAAATCAAATTTGATGATGGCTTATTATTTATTACTGAGTGACATAGAAAGTGTCAGTAAATGATTTGGCAGTTTAATTATTGTATATCTATGGGCAGAATCGTGCAAAATTAAATAATTGTGTCATTTTCATGTATTTTTTATATCTGAAAGTGATATCCCCATTCTATTCTCTACCATCACAAAGACAGAAATTGAGAAGTGTTACATTCACTATTATGACAAACTTCAATGCAATAAATTTACAGAACATTTTGGAGGAGGAAAATAAAGATGTGTACTGAAGTTAAGAGATCAAACTCTTGTTTATTTCAAGGGGAGCGAAGAGCTGTTTAAACCCAAACTTGTGAAATTTCGAGTTTCTTAATGATAGCTTAAGTGCCACATTTTGGTACACAG